TCTTCAACGGGAGCAGATCTTGGATCTTTCTTTGGGCGTGAACACCGACGTTGGGAGATTTTGATTCTCTGTATCAGGTATAACCCTTCCCTTGATCTTTGGTTCAGATCTGGTCTGGTTTGGTTCGAGTAGATCCTTGAATATTTGATTCTAAAATAAGGGAATGCGATTCCCAGCTAGAAGAAAGGTAGGAAATTTTCAAAATTCGCCCATCCATTCCACAACCTTTTTGGCGTCCATACGATGGATCCTACCATTCTTTCAGACCCTTGCATAGAGATTAACTTTAGTCCTTGAACAAGTGCTAGGATTTCAACTTTTAGGGTGATCCCCTGCCCAAATGGACCTGGGAAACTGAGGCAGATATTGCTCGTGCTACCTCTTACTACCCCTCTAGTCGCTCAGTCCCGTGGGTCACCTAGGCTGCACCCATCGAAATCAAATTTTAATCATCCTGTTTGAATATAGCATCTTGTTATTTCTTCTCGAAAAAAAGGATAGTCTGCTACAATCTGTCATACTCTCAACAAGTCAGACAAAGTGATACCTTTGAATTCTTCACATGTTTAGACCCAATGCCCAATTCTTATCTTTATATTATAAGGCCTATCAAGGCACCCACCTCCAACCCCTTATCCTCAAAACTTCAGGCATTTGTCTCCCCCACAATCCTTATAATATTGCTGCCTATGTACAGTGCTATAATATCTTTTGCCTCTGTAGAACATGTATAAATAATGGCAGAGAAAAGCTCCAAAATTGATGAACGGGAGTCCATCTACACCCCAAGAGAAGAGAAAATGGTTCCATATCTGAGCAGCACATTGGAAAGTCACAAGAAGATGAGTAGTGTCTTCACAACCCTTGAGTCAGAGAACAAATACATGAGGTCGACTACAGCCTATGCCAGGATTTTTGTTTCTTCTCGAGCCTTATCACATGTATTGACAAGTAAATATTATGGCAGAGAAAAGCTCCAAAATGAACGAAGAGGAGTCCATCTACCTCCCAAGAGAAGAAAAATTATTCCATACCTGAGTTGCACATTGGCAAGTCACAAGAAGATGAGTAGTGTCTTCACCACTCTCAGGAAAGAGAACACATACATGAGATCATCTACACCAAAATTTTTGTTTCTTCTGGAGTCTTATCACGTGTATTGAAAAACATATTAGCTGCCTCTCAACAAGTTGAAAACAGCCCTCTTGAAGTATAGAACTGCTTGAGATTAGATGCAAAACCAGAAAACAAACAAGAGAAGATTAAGAAGATGAGAGAGAGAGAGAG